ACTACCAGCAGAGAGACAGACACCACCGTGAGGCCAACGGCTACTCCGTGCAGAACCCAAGGTCTCCCAGAAACATCTGTGGGAGAGAGGGAGATCAGAGGAAGGTTTCTTTCTGCTGGAGGTCACAGGTGACCTATCGCAGAGGTTTCACTTACCATTTGCTCCAAGTTGTTTCTTGGCAATGTAACCATTCCTTCCCAGGAGGATTGGGCCAGGTGCACTCACTACTGTCCCCTCATGGTCATGGGTACTCCTGCGCTGCCCTGTTGGAGCGAGACCAAGATTAGACAGTTCTGACTTAATCCAGGGAGATAGTACTGGAGCTCAGTCAAGATCAGAAATGTCTCTATGTAGAGACACATCTGTACTTGATCCAGATCTGAAACTGGATGCAGTTAGCAACTACTTACCAAACCCCTCAAACTGAGGTTATGGTGAAAACATCATGAGCAGTCACTGCTCCAAGCATCAATCAGGCTGCCAATGGATTCCCAACAAGAAATTCAAATCAGTGAAGTTGGAGAAAAAACACCTTCTGCAACAATGTTGTTGCACTTGTCAGAGCAACAACGACCACGTACACTTCACTTATCACATGTAACATCAATTGTTATGTTTGGGGAATGGCAAGTGCCTGGCTCATATTAAGCTTCATTACAATTCCAGCTGGAAACACATTCAAGCTTATGTTCCTGCTGATACAGTTTGTAATGTTCTTGCCCTAGACTGTTACAACTCCAATAAAGGTTCTTCAGATCAGTGGCATGTATTTCAATTTGTGACCACTAAATCCAGGCTTTAGTTTTGGGCATTGAGGGTGCACAAGTCAATGCTTTAAGAGATGGACCTAAAGTTCACATTTACATAAAGACCCCTCTCACTATCCGTATAGAGGGGATCAAGCCTCCAGACACAGGCCAGCAGAAATTGCTTAAGCAAACAAGTTAGTCCAAATCCAGATCTGGAATAGATGGCTTCCCAATTCAGAGGGAGTGCGAACAGGAGGACATTCAGGCCCTTAACCTATCCTACCATTTGACAGATTGGAGTGAAGTGGAGATCCACGGAAGACATGGGGATTGCTGGCTTGGCTGACATTTACGGCCCATCCCTAGCTTCCTAAAGTAGGGAACTGCCTCCAGGAACTGCTGCAGTTCTTGCATCTACCTCCACCCTACCCACAACACTACAATCATCCCATTTGATCTTTTCAAGAGACTCAACTGTTCAAGGCAACCTATCATCCTAGGATGAAATACAAGGCTTCTGTTTCATTTATAGGCATGGAAAAGGTGGTGACCTAGACGACCTGGGAGCAGATGTAGTGTCTGGTGCTTCCAAGAACTGTTGAGAAACCACCTATGGTACATTCTTTCCCAACTGGTTGCCGCACCTGCAAACATTTAATGGAGAGCATCTCACTGCTGTTATTCCCCCAGAGAATACTGTTCTTCCTACTAAATAGGAATCATTTTGCAGGTCTCTGAATTCTTGCCCACTGAACATTACACCTCTAATGGAGGGGGCTGGGGAGGGGGGGGGTGGTGCAGGATGCAATTGAGAGTCAGCACATTGCTGTGGGTCTGGAGACAAGCGTAGGTTAAGCCAGGCAAAAACAGGAGGCACCCTTCCTGAAAAAGGAAAGATTTCTATAAAAGTGTTGACAGCAGTTACATGGTCACCATTTCATGACTTGCTGTGGCAAAATTTCAATCAGATGATTCCCCTGAAAATTAGCCTGAGGTTCTGGGTTGCTAGTCTAGTGGCATTACTACCCATCAATTCTTACCAAATTGTACCCATGTCTGCAATCTAATTTATCAATTAGACATTTAGTTTTATGAAGGACCCAGAGATTTTGTGAATTGAATTCCAACATTCACTTGCCAGCTTCGGTGACCCATTCATGCATGTCTTCTATTACAACTGGAAGGTCCCTTTCTTCAAATTACATGCCTGCACTGCAAAGTTCTTCCATCACATTTACTGTGGCACCTTCACATGCCTTTAGGCAACAGGCCATCTGCCAGTTCTCCTTCATGCAC